GCAACTAAGGTGTATCGCCAAGTCACCCTTTGGTCATGTTCTTTTTGTACTTCTATTTTGTGCATCTTAGCGTTGGCGTTGAATCTACTTGATCTTGATCCTCAACTTCATCTTCATATCTTCATATATCATCAGCCTCGTCTCTGCCATTGACCTCCATGCTCTTGACCTACTTGAGCTCACCCGAGCCAATTCTCAGCCCTTTTATTCAGCTTTCCTTTTTTTCGACCGGATAGAGTCGGACTGGAGCGTCACGCGACCAGCATACGTCGGGTTTTTCGTTCCTTTTGCTTTTTTTGCTTCTTCTGCTTCCTTTTCCCCTTGACGTCTCAAACAGCAGACAAACGTCAACTGGAGACCCCTGGGGAACGAGAGGGAGATGTACAAACAGGCGACAGGACAGATTTGCAGAACACGCAGGTAAAAGAACGAACGAGACCGGTGCCCACTGTGGACGCTGGAACAGCGCCTGACCTTCTCTTAGGCCGTCCCCGTCCCACCGGGTCTGGTCCCCTATGATCCGAGCCTCAGGAGGAAGGCCACGACCCCCCTTTTCTTGTCCTTGATGCTCGATAGCAGCAGGTATGGACCGTCCAGGCTAGTTCAGACCGTTGGTTTTGGGTGACTCAGCACTGGGCGAGGCCTGGTTTCACCGCCTCAGCTATATATCATCGTCATCAGCAGCAGCAACAGCTCTTCTTCTTCCTTGACTGGCCTGCATCTACCCAAGGCTATTCTTCGTCTTCCAAACTTAAGTACGGTGCTTCGCCGTTAAGTTACTGGGAGTTCCGTTTTATATAACAACCAGAAAGGGTCTCTTTTCTTATTTTCTTTCTTTCTTTTTATTTTTTTTTATCTTGTTTCCTCTCCTATATACCTTATTATATGCTGTCCAATTTCTACTTCCACCTTTCTTTCTTTTCTACGCCACTGAAAGAAAAGACCTGGACGAGTTGCTTCTTGTCTTGCGACCACCAGGTCAGCCTTAGGGCCACTGCCTGCATCCCGGGGCTGACGGGTCCGCGATCAAACGGCGCATGCCAAAGAAGGCAAGACAAATAAGAGGGAGTCTTGCCTCAGCCCTGACCTGAAAGATCCTGCAAGCTGCTGGGGACTGGGGCGGGAGAGAGGGGCGTTGCAACGCAGATGGCCACCTGCTTTTGCCAGTACTGGTATGGATGAAGGAGTCTCTATTCTCTCCTACCCCCCTTCCCTTCTCCCTCCCTCACCCCTGTCCTCGGTAGTGCAGGGCCAGTGCTGTTTGACATGGAATCAACCTTTACCTCCTTTCTTTTCCCTCGCCGTTTGTCAGGGAGATAATGCATGAGAACGCATGACACATGGTTGAATGAAACAGTGTCGAAGAATAAACTACAATAATTACTTGCCTTACTAACTGCTTGTTTCAAAACGTCTTCTCCCTTGCAGTGCCATGTGTGAGAGAATGATATCAAATCCAGATTCTTCAATTCTATACTGTAGCCAACGGTAAGATATACCCTTCTTCTTCTTCTCTCTACCTTGTCCGGACCTATCCGTATCATTTGCCTCGCATGAGCAAATGATACAGGTAGGACTTTCTTCAACCTTCTATACTTTTTTTTCTCTTCCCTTCTCCCTGGAAGCGCATGTTTACTTATTCTGCCTCTCTTTTCTTCTTCTTGATTCGTCCTCCAGTTGCCGAAATCAAGACTCTATAAAACCTCTAGCAACTCCTTCGAGACCCATATTCTTCTCACAGGCAACATCTCCCTTCTCCTCCTCATTATTCTCCCCGGTTATCATCCCCAGGTCATATCCATATCGCCAGAGTGCGAAGGCCGGCTCCTTTTCAGACCCTGGCTTGCTTTACTCGTTACCAAATACAACCATTTCCCTTTCCACTAGCCTGCCGCAGCTGAGCATTCTACACCAAGAACCGGAGACAATGTCTTCCACACGCCAGTCCCGATCCAAGCCAGTTCAATTCACGGCTGCGTATCAATATCTCGCTCAGTTCCTGCAAGCGGGGAAGACACCGAGTACCTCACAGCGGTCTGGACCTGGGTATAAAAAAGGTGTATGTCTTACCGGCGGGAAGGAAGCCGGTGATATGCCATTGTTAACTCACTCCCCGGCTACGACGGTGGTTTCGGCGGATGATAGCCCCATCACACCGTCTGAAAGGGGCCCAGATGAAAAATTCACTCTACTACAGAACGACATGATCGAATCCAAGTCTACAGCTCTTGCCCCGGTGATGGTGCATGGAGACGGAGCGTTGCTCGAAAAGACTCAGTAATGATGGCCCCTTGTTGTCCTCAGAGTATATTATTAGTGGTCATTCCTCTGTTGTGACGGGAAGTTTTCCTTTCTGTATCTTGCTATGGAAAGGCACGACCAGTTTTAGGGTAGCAAATATTAAGCATACCCATTTCCCGCGCCTCTTTACATTTGCGTTACATTATTTTGTCTCCGTTAGTGTCTAGTACAATGCATGTTCATTATTTCTGTAGCCCTTGCTCTAACTACGTTCCATTCTTCATGTTCTTGTCATTTAAATTCTAAACTGACGCTATGTTTATGGTGTGCATCGACCGGTGAAACGAGGGTATAACGAGCATTCTCGGACAGTATATCGTCCGCACATCCATGCAAGGAATCGTTCAAGGCCAAGGCCGTATCCTCCATGAGGAGACGTGCCATATCTGCTTATAGTCAGCACACACTCTCCCTACTCCAGAGACACACTCACGGGGGCAAACTTACTTTCTCTGGTCGGTATACCAGTAGTATGGAGTAGGATCCATTCCTTCCTTCTTGTACGCACCCATGAGCTCGTCCCAGTCGTCCATCCTCATGCTACCGCCGACAATCTCACCGACACCGGGCATGAGTACATCTACGGACTCAGTGACACGTGGGTCCTGTGCGTCTTTCTTCATGTAGAACGCCTTGATCTCAGCAGGGAAGTGGGTGAGTAGGATAGGTTTATTGATGATATCAGTCATTTTTCGCTCGGCAGCTTCAGCAATGTCATCTCCGAACGAATGTGGCTTATCCTCTTCATTGTTGATGCCGTGTTCGTTCAGCCACTCGATGGCTTCAGAGTAACGCATGCGCATAAAGGGACGGGCCGGTGGCGTGAAGTTGGGGTTGAGCTGTTTGACGAATGCGGCGATCTGTGGATCAGCCAGCGAGATATCGATAACACTACATATTATCTCCTCGATATGGTCGAGGAGGTCATTGAAGGTGATGAAGTCTAGCTCAGATTCAATATGGGTATATTCCGACAGGTGACGACGGGTGAGAGACTTTTCAGCACGGAAAGATGGGCAGATGCAGAAGACATCGCCTAGTGAAGCGAGACAGGTCTCCAGGTACAGCTGGGAGGACTGAGTCAGGTAGGCCTTCTCGCCGTAGTAGTCGAATTCAAACAGGGTACTGCCACCTTCTACTTGGGTCTGGACCATGGCTGGGGGAGTAACCTCGAGCATCTGTTTCTGCTCAAACGTCTTCCGAAACGCCCGCACCACAGCTGCGCGGACCTTGAGAACGGATGAGGACGTCTCTCCACGCAAGACGAGGTGTCTGTTGTCTAGTAGGGTCTGTGGATCAGCATCTGCGGCCACACGGGTGGTGATGGCCTCCTTGTCGCCGGCAGCACGCCCAATGACCTGGAAGAAGTCTGCGTGTAGCTCACGGTTATCTGGAGCATGCTGTTTCACAGGCACGGCACGCATCTCTCCATGGATGGCCATGGAGGTCTCCAGCGTAAGAGTCATGGCATCATATGTCTTTGTCAGGTCCCCAGTAAAGACGCACTGCAGCAATCCGTAGCCATCTGTCAGCGTCAAGAAGATCATATCCTTCTGCACCCGTAGGCGATGGACTCTGCCAACGACACGCACACGAGTCCCCGGCTGCTCGTCTCCTTCGGCTCGAGGCCTGACGACCGCGGGGTCCTTCTCATTGAGTCTGATCTTGACCGGCTTGGGCAGCGAGCTGTCTTCCTTTATGACGACCTTCTTCGCCTCCTCAAGCACCAGCCTTCGCTTATCGGCCTCCTCCTTTTCCCTGATCGCCAGCTCCTTTTCCTTGAGCGCCTTTTTCTTGCGTTGCTCGACGAGGTTGGCCGCCTTCTTGAGTGCCGACTTGGTTGCGGGCTTCCACTGCAGGCGCACGGAGGCCTCTTCTCCTTCAGCAACAGGGCCCGTCTCGGACTTCCTGGTCATGTACTGCACTGGGGCGTCAGCCGTGGCGGGGTGTAGCAGCATCGCGTAGACCAGCGTCTTGTATGCGGCGGTTTCGGTGCCCGTCGCAGAGTCATCGTCCTTGCCGACATCTTCGTCGATGAAGACGTCTTTGGTAGCGCTCGCCATGGCCGCCTCTCTTGTGTCCCGATCCTCTTCCTGCCTGCTCTTTTTATTTTATTTTATGCCTTCTTTTTTGCTGGATGTTATCAAAGAGATAGAAAAAAAAGTGTGTGTGCAGTGGGGTAAAACTTCGAGGGGGGCATAAAATTATCATTTTCTATGGAGAATCCCAGCCAAAGCGTGAGTCACAGACGAGCCAACCAGCAAATTATATTGATATTAATAGTTACTCTGCAAAAGCAAATGATACCAATAAAAGACCCAAAACTACAACATCAATTGAATGGCATATCAAGCAGAGCAGGCAGTCTTTCTTACAGAGATAAAAACGCTCAGCTGGCGGCAGCTCCTCCTACGTCCATCTATCTGGCTGCAACTCTTCGCAATGCTCTTCTCCCATCCAGAGGCGTGTCCAGTGATGTAGAAGCTAGTTAGCTAACGGTCGATCGGAAACTAGAGCTTCTTCGAGTCTTACTTCAACGCGTTCCCCAGCTTCCATATCCCAGTCGTCGCCGTCAGCTAGTGATTCCTTCGCCTGGCGCGGTGCAACAACCTTCGTATGCGCCTGGAGTCGACACGATCGACCATCTTCATAGAAAAGCAAAGATTAGCGAGATCGGGTCTCGTATTGTCCGTCGGGTTTCACGCTCTTCTCCGGTGTGGCTGATCTGCCTCAATTGCCAGCCCAGATGCCGGGCAGTGCAGTGGTGGTTGGGCCTTCTGCCTTCTTCGCGCTGGCAGTTTCAGATCTGGGATCGGTGGGGATGGGAGCCACGCTGGAGAGCTGGCCTTGCCGGCTGGTTGGTTCTCGTATGCTGGCCTGAGTCGCTGGTCGCTCATCGGGCCCAGCCAGCTAAGGTCCTCCGGCGTTACGGAGTCGGTGGCAAGACGGATGAACATGAACATGAACTGCTGGATGTCGCATCTCGACAATTCGCCCTCGGCGTTCTCTTTTTCGCCTTTCTCTGCTTCTATACTTCTGCTTCTTCTTTCTTCTGCTTCTGCCTTTTCGTTGATTGTGAAGAAAAGCAAATAAAAATAAAAAAAAAAAAAGAATGGCGATATTACGTAATATCACCGGCACTGGATTCTCGTTTGGGTAATTTTCGACTGCAAGGCAAGAAAAGCACCAGCGAAGGTCGGTTTTTGCGCGCTGCGTCGGCTGAGGAAGCCCCTGAAGAGCCGTTGCAGGCAGCGGCTCAGAAGCTTATTACTCTGTGCAGCATTATACACCAGCAGCGGGTTTGATTGGGTTTGATTGGGTTTAAAAAGGATTCCATTGAAAAGGAGTTTGTATGTACACCCTGACTCCTGAACGTCGTAAATATGGCGATTCCAGCCCAAGGTGATGGCTGCAGTGGTGGTGATGATCCCACAGCCGAGAGTGGGAAGAGCAGCGGCAATGATGAATATATCATCCCATCCAAAACTTCTCAATATTCGGATGCGTGTGAATATACGGATGCCGATGATGGCCAGCATCAGGGGCATGAAAATTGCTGTCATGATTATGATGGCAGGGCCATGAACCTCTGGTGGATTGTCATAATTGGGTTTAGGCCAGGAGGCAATAACCGACACTGGAGGGAGCTGCATGATAGAAGCCTTAGGATGTGAATAAAAGGAAAAAAAAATGAATGTCGGTCCCTGTACTGAGTACACAGAGGGTTAAAAAAAAAGGGTTAAAGAGATATATAAGAAGAGAGGATAGTAGCTTGATTGCCGGCGGGAGAGCTACTATGGATATAAGTGCCCAGGAAGGGGGCCATCAGAACCTTAACACGAAAAAGTTCACAACTACAACACGAGTAGATCTGCAGCGCGAACTGACGGGTGACACACCTCTTGGTTTAGCTAGCCTGCAAAAGCGGCTCTTAACTGTAAGGAAACATCGAGTCAAAGCGCAGGAGAAGGAGGTATATGCAGGAGTAGCGTCAGAGGAGGCGTCAGGGCAAGAATGGAGCCTCTCAAGGCCATCAACCCTGGTCTCAGGCGGTCAGACGTGGATGATACACAATTTCTCTTTTCCTCCATACAAACATCACTGTCTGCAGGGAGAGATGTTCAACCTGGCCATGGCGTCCGGAAGAATGATGCTTTGGCGGCCGTTAGATATTAACGTGGACAGCCACAACACGGCATCATTCTGGTGGCGATCCCCTTTCAATAGATCAGAGGCCCAGAGGAACTTTCCAAGCAAGATTTTCAGGAGCATATCCAGTGAAAAAGAGTATTTTTGAATTCTGCAGTTTCTTGGTGGGGGATCAGTTGCGAGGAAAGGCAATCCTACACGGTTTGTGGGATAGGTCGGCTGGCCTGGCGGTCGTGTTGGGTGTTTTGGAACCAACTAGTATGCTTGTGTTTCTTTTTCCTTGCCCATTTTTTTCTTCTTCTCCTCTCGTCTCTCCTCTAGCAGGGTTGGCATCGTTTTTATTTATTATATTGTTGGCCGAGAGCTCGCAGTTCGCCATTATTTGCCTGTCAAGAGTTATCGTCCTTGGCCGTGTGCATTCTCTGAGTGGACGGAGCCAGGGAATACCAGTGTCGTGATTCCCTGCTGCATCACACAGTGGTTTGCAGTAGCTCCAACTTCGACATGGTCTCCATCGTGATGGAACTGTCTCTTGCATATACATACGGAGCCCAGAAGTAGATCTCCAATGGCATCATAGGGACAAAATTGAGCTTGCCGGCTCCTCCCACCAGGCGATTGCCGGCGGCGGAAGAGACGGGGCGTCCGTCTGTTGTCTAGGGCAACATCGGACAGTCTGAGAGTCGGTTAAGTCCTTGATTTGCCTCTGCCCTGGCGTCTAAACGGAGAAAGATAGCAGTCTAGATAGACCACAATAATGCACCTGCATAGTCCGTACTCCGTAGAATGTTCTTCAGTCTCTTCTAGCCAGGAGAAGTCGTTGATGGCTTGTGTTTGGTTGATCGATCGATCGATCATTTCGTTCCCGGAAGCTGGGAGATCCGCTACATATAAATATATATAATGCGGGCATGCTGATTTGCTTGTGACAGCATGCCGGCCGGGATCTCCTCTAATCCTGGACCGTAGCTCGTCTAATATAAATTATTCCCGACGGTACTTTTGGATCTCCCTCGTTATTATTATTATGGTTATTACGGGCAAGCATCTAATCTCAATCGAGTGGATGCCACCGGTATTATCGAAGACTCCGTGCTCTTCCAGCCGTTGGCCTTTTGATATGGCCGGCTCTTCGCAGCGAACAGTCGCCAGGAAACATCCAAATTGCGCAGCCGGCCATCGTCTAGTATTGCAACGGCCTTTGAAGCCTGTATCATCTCAACCAGCCTCGCTGGTACCTCTCCGTCTCAGCAGCTAAACTAGTTAGTTAGTTAGTTAGCTGAAGCTATCGTCCGATCTTTATGTGTCTTGTGTGCCCTTGATTATATGCGTAGAACTAGCCATCCACACTCAACCAGTAGTAGACTGACCGTAGCAAAGGGCCATCACCGTCGCCGTCGTCGTCTGCAGCCTCCTGTCCTGTCTTGTCCTGTCCCCCCCTTCTCTGCTGTCTCGCCTGCTGTCTCGTCGCTGTCTCGTCTGCCGTCTGTTGTGTGCGCAGCCCAAAAAAGCCAAGCATCGCCAAAGGGGGAAAAAATAACAACGACCAACGACCAACGCCAAAAAGCGCAAAAAGTTCCTCGACCTCAACTTCTCCAACGTCCGACATTCACCTTCGCCCTCGCGACTCTCCAGCCGTTCTCCCTCCGAGCCCCCTTTTCTTCTTCTTCTTCCTCTTCTTTCCATCGCTCCTTTTTGCCTTTACTTATTTATTTATTATCTGGATCCCATCTGCCCTAATTTTCCTGCTTCGTCGCCGCTTGATCGCCCTCGCGGTGTCAGCCAGCCTTCCCGCCGTCACCACCAGCAGCGGAACACGCCCTCGTCGTAATCCTCCAGCTTCTCGACAGAGCAGTCTTTCGATCCCGGTGAACACTTTCCAACCCAAAAGGCCCTTTAATGTGAAAAGCACGGTGCGCTCTTCTCGTTCTCTCGTTCCTTTACGGTCCGGCAACAAAGGAATTGTCCAAGGGGGGAATACAACGCCCGTCAGCGAGTCTCGAAGACCTGGTCCACCCCCCCTCCGAATCGCCTGCTCCCTGTGTGTCGTGAATCTGTTTCAGCTTGCCCTCTTGACCATCTGTCGACCCGGACTGGAGTCGGGACGCTCACTCACGGCTTTCCCTCGCCCTTCGATCTCAACGCTGAGTTGGCTGCCGGCTTGCCTCCAGGGCCATCTTATCACTGCTTATCTCCCGCCCTGACGTCCTCGACACCCGGTCCTCGCCTCTATATCGCACCTTGCTTCTCGTCAGGCCGCTTTTTTTTTTTGCCTTGCCCCTCTACCAACTTTTAATTGAGCGCATCCGGTCGGTCGTGCTGGTGGATAGCAAGAAGAACTGACAACACCTCTCGACGCAGAGGCACCATCCATATATTTGCCACGTTCTTTTCTGCCTTTAGCCCGTCACGGATTTTTTTCATTAACACCAACAACAGGAAACAATATAAAACACAGGGACGAGCTCGGCATTATCCTACCCCTTCTTAGACAGAAGGTATAGAGCGTTTCGGATATTTGATCCTGCGTCTATATTGGATTTCGATTTGTTTTATCCAAATCTAACAACACTCGAACTATTATAATCTATAATGGCCCATTCATCAAGGCCCGAAGGGCATCTCAACCTTAACTACCTTCCCTCCTCGCAACCACGATCTGGCACATCTACCGGCAGCTCGTCTCCCAGCGAGCTTCCGCAAACCGGACAGACAAAGTCGCCCTTTGGGGACTCAAATGGCCTAGCTGGCTCGTCACAATCGATTGGAGGCTCGAGAATGGGGGCAGGTTCCCCTTCTCATGATCTTGGCAATCGTCTCTATCCCAAACGGTTAGCTGAAACCCTCCCTCCCCTTAAAAAAACATATCCATCATCATCGTCTTTCCATCTCGATTATCTAACATTTTGATGCTGATATATTGGTAGAGCCCGAGAAATACAGGCGCAAGAAGGTGTGGCCTCACACCTCTGGGGAGGACCACCCACCAGCGGCAATTCCACACCTCTGCGTGAGAATATTCCCGAGTCACCGAACCAAGACGAATTCCCAGGTCTAGTGCCATCACCTGAAACCATAGCGTACAATCCCGGTCGACGAACTCGTGCGGGAACTGTACCCTCACGCTTCTCTCCCGTCGGACCGCTCAATGGACTCAACGTCCAACCTTCCGTCATCTCAAAGACTTCTAGACCTACCCCATCTACCAGCCCATTCCGCCCGCAAAATACAACTGGAGTAGACTCGTCCATGGTGTCTGCTCCAGGAACGGAGTCGAATACAGTTTTGCTGTCTCGCCTCCGAGCTGGCTCGATGCCACAGCGGCCCAATCTTCTGAACAGCTCAAGTCCCTTCGGCCCTTCTGTCTTTTCGACAAACTGGTCATCCGGGCGCGAGCGTGCTACCACACTGGCCAGCATAAGATCTTCCGAAGGCCCCTCTTCGCCCACCCAGTCTTCCTTCTCGAAGGATGGTCTTGCTGACGCCGACGTGAGAACCCTGGATTACCTGGGGTTGGCAGAAACGCCCCAACAGTCTCGTGCCAGCCTTGCAGGACCATCGGTTGCCATGCTTATGCAGCAGCAGCAACAGCAGCAACAACAGCCGACGTCTTCCCTGCCGCCTCTTCTTGCAGAATTAGCCATGCTCAATCGTGGTTCAAACCGATTCCGCTCCTACTCTGTTAATGCAAAGGAGAAATACGCCGAGGAAGACGAGGAGTTCGGCACACATTACTCTACCATCCCCTCAGGAACTCTGACTCCATCTGCCGCCGCTACTGCTGCTCAACTCGCTGCCACCCAGGCCCAAATCCATCAACACAACCTTGCTGTCCAAGCCTTTGCAAACCACGCATCCTCCAGCCGACCTCGAGCTCGTACTGCTGGTGTTTTAGACGCTCCTCTCCAACGCTCCTCCATTCGCAACTACCTCGCAAGCCCTTCAAGGCTCGAGAACAGTATAAATGCTGCGGACATTCGCATTACGGAAGGCTCTGAGTACGATGGTTTACCTGAAGCCGTTCAGAGAATGCAACTAGGAGGCATGGGAGGACTAAGAGCGCAAGAACCCGTGGATGAGAACAATTTGGAGGGCCCTACCCGAGCATTATGGATTGGCAGCATCCCCGTCTCCACAACCGTCACGTCCTTGGATGCTATCTTCAATGTATATGGTAAGATCGAGTCAACTCGTGTTTTGACTCACAAGAACTGTGGATTCGTCAACTTTGAACGTGTTGAAAGTGCCACTCAAGCCAAATCGCTTTTGAATGGAAAGGAAATATTCCCGGGAGCTGGCCCCGTCCGTATCGGGTATGCCAAAGTCCCAGCTACTCCTGTTTCCGAGACTCCAGGACAGCCTGGCAGCCAAAACTCCCCCACGCCAGACGCTAGTACTGGAGCTGCTGGGTCAGTGGCACGGGATGGAACTCGCTCTACCACACAAGAAGGCGAAGCTGCTATCTTCTCATCCATCCCAGACCTGCAAGAAATACAGCCTGAAA